GGGGGCGTAAGGGACAATAGCATGTCATCTACGAACGGAGACATTTTATGCAAGTATCCAGCTAGTTCGATCCCTTTTTTAATGTTCAGATTAGCTCTGAGAGAAAGCTCTAAGGGCTTCAACGCCAAGATAAAGAGAATCGGTGATGGGGAGCAGCCCTGGCGAGTTCCTCTAGCAATAGGAAGAACTAAGGCCCTGGTATTTAATCAAAGTCCTAGGATTAGAATAGACCACCTGGATCCAGGCCAGGAATCCCTCTCCAAACCCCAACTTCTCTATCGTTGCAAACAAATAAGGCCAAGATATTGAATCAAACGCTTTGCACATATCCAAAAACAATAGAAACATTTCAAGCTTCTGTGCACGAGCCAGATGGTACAAAGAGAGGATCCTCTGAACACCATCCGATGCCAGACGGCGAGTGACAAAGCCCAACTGGTTCTTATTTATCAATTGGCCTAAAAACGCATTGAGGCGCCAAGTCAAAATCTTGGTCAAAAGCTTAACATCAACGTTGATCGGAGAAATGGGTCTATAATTAGACCATATTCTAGGGTCTTTATTGGGTTTTGGCAACATGACCACATTAGGGGCCTTGAGGAGGAATGCTGAATTAGAATAGGTAGGGACATTTTTAAATTAAATGGGAAGCAAAGTCCAAGGCTGCTTCCAAGTCCTGGAGTCGTTGGGAGCGCTCCTTATGCTTACTAGCAATACGAATTAGATGTCACCTTGTAACTGTTTTGTAAGCCGCCCAAGGTTACCGGTGAGGTTACTGTGCCTTTTTTGTTGAGCCTAAAATATTCAGCTGCGGCAGGACAACAGGGTATGAAGGGAGAGATTCATTCAGCGACCAAGGTGCAGGTCCAGAACAAGATGTAAGGCAATTTCTGTGAAATGCGATGAGGACTCCTCTGTTTAGTGGAAGCAGTTGATAAGAAAACCTGCGGATATTTGGCATCAAAATATTTGGGATGAGAAGATGCGGAGAAGTGCGTCTCCTGAAGGCAAGCAATATTAATCTGACATGATCGAAGGAAACGAAAAATCTTGACCCTCTTCTGAGGAGCATTCATGCCCTGTACATTCAGGAAAGCCATGCCAGTGTCATCGAACAATGGGAATAGGGTCCCTAAAGGATACCGATATAAAAAGGAAGAGGGAAACACCGCCCAACCCTGAAGAAGTGAGAGTAAATGCAGGAGGGTTAGACGAGTAAAGGAAACTGAAAAACCACAAAAAGTAGTAGGGTAGGAGATCAGGGGGTTGGGGGTAGACTACTATGTAGTTCTAAGACAGAAGCTGAGTTCTCCGACTAAGCCTAAACACCTCTGTCGCCAGAATCACTTCTGCTGTAAAGCCGGTCGCCGGCTGTACAAATATGAACAGAGTCCCGGCGGCTTAGTCCTTAACCCGTTAAGGACCCATGGCAGAAAAATCCCGTCATGGGTCGTGAAGGGGTAAGAGGTAGCCCAGATGTTAGGCTGATGGACCTCCCTGAAACATATTCTGGATATGAGGTGAGGTTGTGAATGGATGCTGTTTTATACACTGGGAGCAAGCGATTCCTTCCTTTGACAACGCACGGCGAGTCACTTCTAATTATCCATCTACCATTGAGAGTCAGCTCACTCCCTGGCTGGGACAGTACCAGCTACAATGCGATTATTTCCCTGTGCACAAATCTTGTTTTTTTTTTTCCCCTGGTAAATCTCTCTCGGTCACTTGTGCAATAGTTACTGCTTTTATTTCAATAAATTATTATTTTCAACTTTATTACATTCTTTTTTGACTGCTGGCCTTGTTTGCTATGTTACCTACCTCTTGGACGGCCTGACAGTCTGCGAATTCTAAGAATGTGTCCCGCAATGGACTATACATTTTTTTTTTTGTACTCTCCTTAAAGGAGAATTATGGGGTCAGTGTTTTTCCCCATAGTTCTCCTTTAGGGTAACGGGAGGACACAAACTAGCGTCCTCCCGTTACCCTAAGCTCAGTATACCGCGAGCTACAGCTATATCCCTGAAGAGCCCTTAGGGGGTGCGCTTGTCTGACATGAGTAAAGCTGTGGGTCAAGCCCCCTCCCTTGATTGGTTATCTCTGATGCTGTGGTGGGTAAGTCTCTGCCTAACCCTTGGGACTCTTATGCTGGAACATGAGGGTAAACAGGGTCGTGAGTTGGAGGAAAGTGCTTCCTCAAACTGATGGCTCCTCCTTGGAGAAACTGCCTTCAGCAGTCCTTTCAATAGGGAGATGCTCTCAACTCAGGTTTCAGAAAATTTGCAGTTGCAGGGGGAAGCTGGATGTGGATGTCCTGGTGTCAAGACTAAACTGTACAGACTTGTGCCCAGGGACCTGTGAGCCTTTGTGTTGGATGATGTGGTGACTTCATGGAATCAGTGCCCCCTGATCATTTCCCTGAACTGATCTCTGTAGATCAAACAAATTAGTGTACAGGCTTACTCTGCAAAAGGTAGAGCTCCCACTTTTCCAGTGAAAGTGTACTCTACTAGATAGGGATGTCCCGATACCGATGCTAGCATCGGAATCGGGCCCGATACAGGGCATTTTGACAAGTACTTGAAAATAATTGCACTGCCAGCACGATCGGCGGTGGTGTGCAATCCATGACCGCCTGGTCATCGTGCACAAAACGGAGCAGATGGCTGGGCGGTCATGGAATCGCACACCACTGCCGATTGCGCTGGCAGTGCCATTATTTCCTAATGGTACTCCATGCGCGCCAGGCAGATTGCGCGGTTTCCCGCTGCAATACCGCCTGGGCGTTCCCACACGATCGCAGTTGAAAACATGAATGGGTTAGATGTTTTATTGTTCTAAAACAGTCTTAAATTAAAGTTCTTCATAATCAAACAAATTGGCCTAAAATCATTAGTCTATTGTTTTTTTTAAAATGTCACCTGTCCCTTTAAGTAAAAGTATCGGCAATTGGTATCGGCAAGTACATGAGGGGAAGTACTTGGACTTGGTCTTAAAAAAGGGTTATCGGGACATCCCTACTACTAGATCTATCAGTGCCTCGTGGGTGTTTTGGCATCAAGCATCTGACTTGCAGATTTGTAAAGCTGCCACCTGGTCTTCACATGTTCACTAAGCTCCGTAAGGTACAACAGGCTTCTGTCTGAAGTTGAGGCTTCTTATTTATGTGGGCCTGTTGGCAGTTTTTTTTTGCCTAACCCTTTGGTCAATCACTTAAGGATGTCCTAGTTGTCTCTGATGAAATATAGAATTTTTCACTTGCTAGTGAAATAATTTTCTTGGAGCACAGGACCCTCCCCTCTGTGCCCTCCATTACTTGCAGAAAAACTACAGCTCTGGCCTGTATCCAATCACCTGTTGATACCGGCATATTACCCAGTCTTGGAATCTGCCTTTGTCCTGTACTGTACTTCAAAAATGGATTTTACTGGCAAGTAAAAAAATCCTTTTTCTTGGCGTCCATTGAGGAACCCTCCCAGGGTTTTTCATGTTCTTGGTACTACTTTGCTATAAAACTGTGGCATGATGGTTATCGGTGGGGCCAGTGTCTTTTTTGTTGCCAGTGGCCATTTCTCCTTTTAGTCACCAATATAACTCAACAGTCTAAAAATTATAAGAATTCCTGTGCCCCTTAATGGGATTTTCTAAGAAAAGAATTTTATGGTAAGTACCAAAATCCTATTTTCTTCTTCTCCTTCTTCTTCTTCTTCTCCTTCTCCTCCTTCTCCTCCTCCTCCTCCTCCTCCTTCTCCTCCTCCTCCTCCTTCTTCTATTCAAGCCGTGATTTCTTCTCCTTCTTCTCCTTCTCTTCAAGTCTGTCTGAAAAAAAAATCAAATTGTAATAAGCTGCACATAATCACATCAGTGGCTTACTTTATAAAAAAAAAACCACGGCCACTAAAGGATCTGGAGTTTACCTATTTACCATAAGCTATCTGAATTGTGGTAGTCTTTATAGCCACCCAATCACTTCTACATGTTCAGGAAAGTGCTATTAACTGGTTTTCCCTGGGTAGCATGAACCCAGAAGCACTTGTCTAAACACTCCCTGCTTCAGAGCTGGTGAACTCTGTGCTTGATCATCTTAAGCAGAGTGCAGAACTGTCAGTCTCCTAGACCCTGCTGTCTCCAAGAGAACCTGTCGCCTAAACTCCCACATAGGGGATTATAACCCCCCATTTGTGATCGCAATAAAGTGAAGTTAAAAAAGTTTTTGAAAAAGCTCCCACACACACATACAGGTGAAACTCTAATAATTAGAATATCGTGCAGTTTATTTATTTCACTAATGCAACTTAGAAGGTTAAACTAATATGAGATAGACTCATTACATGCAAAGCAAGATAATTCAAGCCGTGATTTGTCATAATTGTGGTGATTTATGGCTTACAGCTCATGAAAACCCCAAGAACCCCAAATCCACAACCTCAAAAAAGTAGATTACATGCAATCAATAAAACAAGGATTGTACATAGAACAATATCGGACCTCTGAAAAGTACAAGCATGCATATGTACTCAGTACTTGGCTTGGGACCCTTTTGCAGCACTTACTGCAATTACTTTTGCATGATATTCTAATTCGAGTTTCACCTGTACGTGTTGGATTTGTATGCGTACGAAACATTGCCCCACACTTGGTTATTGCTGCTCATGTGAGCAGTATTTAAATGGCCAAAAGTCACTGTAAATTTATGACCCATTAACTCTAAAGTGTCTGTTGGGTACCATAGGTTTTTTTTTTCCCCGTCTTATGGGCATGTTCTATTTTGAGGGTTATGTTTGGCATCTATTTAATAAAAAATTTTTTTTTTTTTTATTGAAAATGGCACAAGTTGTGTGACACAAGAAATTGCAAATGCCCCTTTTATATTTTACAGGGTCTCTGATTTCAGAAAACGTTTCAATCAAATTTGTAACCGTTTTGTTTTTCCAGAATGTTATACATGTATTTTAAAATATATATATATATGTGTGTGTATATATAATTTTTATCCTTAGGTCATTGGAGTTAAACTGACTGGAAAGCTATCTGGCTGGTCTTCACCAAAAGATATAATTTTAAAAGTAGCAGGCATTCTCACAGTGAAAGGTGGCACTGGAGCCATTGTAGAGTATCATGGTCCAGGTGTGGACTCTATTTCCTGTACTGGCATGGCCACCATCTGCAATATGGGAGCGGAGATTGGAGCCACAACATCTGTGTTCCCTTACAACCATCGCATGAAAAAATATTTGGAGAAAACAGGTCGCTCAGGTTTGTAGGTTTAAAACTGTGTATGAAAAAAACTTGAATATAAGTATTTGTACAACTTCAGTAAACTGGCAACTCCAACTGGATAAACAAATATTGTTTGTAGGCAATATTCCTTAACTCTAGAGGTAAAAAAAGTCTATTTTCCATGGGTATGGCAAGAGAAGTATGTACTGTCAGGTTATAGTTGGGGAACCTGCCAGCACAGGTCATTAACAGGATTAATTATAACCTTTTGAAACCTGACAAAAGCTTGCAGTTGAGTTGGTTGTCTTTAACTCGAACCACTTCTTCTAAATAAATATTTTCAGTTTATTACATATGAGGCTTTCATTTAGTTTAATTGGTTTATTAAAGGAGAATTATGCGGTGAGTGCTTTTCACTCACCTCATAGTTCTAGCCGACCTGTGACAATGAGACTGTCGCAGGTCGGCTCAGTAGATCGGGAAGTGAGCTTACACATACCTTACTTGCTGTTCATAGATTAGCAGTGACTCTTGACATTGCCTTACACATCTGCACTGTTAGTCTTTGATACAAATATCAATTTGATTTTAGACTTGGTTTATACATACATTCTACATGCACATGTTTACTTATGTTTGCGGGCATTATACGTTGCTGTAATACGAGTAAACTAAGAGCTTGTTAAAGTGTAAGTTTGAGTAAAGGTGACTATGCCTCTTGATTTCTGGGAATCGCTTTTAAATTAAACACTCAACCTTTGTGATGGTCACAAGTTTCCCTGGCCTTTGAATAGTCCTACTAAAGATGCTTTGCAGCAAGGACCGCTGTACATCAGGGCATCTTAAAGTGTGGGTCGCGACCCCATATGGGGTCGCAAGTGAATGGGGGGGGGGTCGCGATCCGAATCCAGGGCCCAGACACCAAGCAAGATTTTTTTATTATAGTTTAATATGTGCAGGGTAATTACTAAGGTCCAGCGCCCCCCCCTCCCCCCCCCCGTGCACTTGGTACCTTCCTTACCATGTGCGCGCAGGGAAGGTTTTTTTTTTCCTTTTCAGACGGCAGAGTTTTCTTTAGCCTGGCAGAAGCGGAGCACAGCTGCTGGAGGTGAAAATGTAAGTTTTATCCAGCAGACACCAGGGTGAGTGAGATGGGGGGAGGAGAGATACACACCGAACAACTGGGGGGGCGGGGGAGACTGACGCTGAATTACCTTTACAACTTCTGAAACTGAAGGGACTGTAGCTGAGTTTATTTGCTGTTTGGCTCTAATCACGTTTTCTGCTGCCAACAATTCACTCTAAAGTCACCATTTTAATGCCCTTCAGTTAAAACCAGGATGTAATTAGAGGAGGTCCAACCGCCCCAAGGCCCATAAGATGTTGGAGACCATATGTCACATTATTAAGTACTGCAAAAAAATGTAATATACATCTTCCCCACACAAACACGATGTACCAGTTATGTAAATCCTATGACCCATTTATCTAAAAGTAGTAATAATACAAAAAATGAATCGATTTACTTGCACACTTGATTTAAATATTTGCACTACTGGACATGGAATGTATCTTAATAATGAAACCTGGACTGTCAGCTGAACTTGCATACTTTATAGACTGTATAACAACAATAATAAAAACACAAAATCCATAATTGGCCAGAAATAGATTTAGGGGAAACTGCATCAAACCTACAAAGTAATTGTTAACAGTTTCACTACCAAATGCTCAAGAGGAAATGCATACACATGGATCGTTTGCAATATGAAGCTGGGGCTTAGCATTGTTCCAAGACTGCAAATGCAGGTCTGCAGCAGTGAAGGAGTTAAATTCATTCACCCTGGGGTCCTGGAAAGTATATGGCAGCTTTATCTCCTGGCACCCAATCCTCTGATTGCAGGGCACAATGCTAAGCCTTCTCACAGATCTCAGAAGAGCATAATAGTAATTTACCATTTCACAGACAGCAGGAATCTACAAGTAGCTGGGGAAGGAGGAGAGAGACACTGACTGATGCTGGGAGGGGGGATGGAGGGAGGGGGATATGGAAAAAGTTTAAGGCCTGCTCTAGATAAACTTTCACCCACGTAGTTGCTTATACCAGACAAACACTGGCAACTAGGGAACATTTTTACCTGGTGTGTATTAATTTCTTCCTTAACAGTCATGGTAGTGTTTACCAGCCATACATTACAGAAGAAAAAGGATGTCTAAGAATAGAAACAATAATATGAACTTCCAGCATATAAATTTATGTATGTAGTCTTCCCCCTCTTCGTGTGACTGACTGGTCCCCCTGGTCGCAGCTCTTTGACTATGGGGAGATGCAGAGGGCCTGAGCACATTCCACAGATTTGGGCAGCAGAGGAGAGTGAGGTATAAGGCAAATATATTGCCTTATTCATTATCCCCCCTCCCGTAGTAGAAAAAAAGTTTCATCTCTAGTCTGATTTATGCTGCTTTTGCAAGGATGTGTAATTCTCAGAAATCAACAGTCAGAAATAGAAAAACACTTCTCATATGTATTTAATCTCTATTTCTCTTTTTAATTGTAAAACTTGTGTTCCAGCCATTGCATCTCTAGCAGATGAGTTCAAGAGCCACTTGGTACCAGATGAAGGGTGTGAATATGATCATCTGATTGAACTTAACTTGGATGAAGTAAGTACAGGCTGACTAACAAAGGTGTATGATAAAACAAAAGGGTTTTGTTTTTTTTGGTGTATTTTACATAAACCGTTCCATTGCTTCGAACAGCTGAAGCCACACATCAACGGACCTTTTACCCCTGACCTGGCAACACCTGTTTCTCAGGTGGGAAATATTGCACAACAGAAGGGATGGCCTTTGGATATCAGAGTTGGTAAGTTTTTTCCAGGAAACGAGTTTAAACTCTTACGGACTTATTTGTAATGCAAATGAGCATAACTTTTTTTTTTTTAAATTGCAGGCCTTATTGGCAGCTGTACAAATTCTAGCTATGAAGATATGGGTCGTGCAGCAGCTGTAGCAAAGCAGGCTCTTTCGCATGGTCTGAAGTGCAAATCTCAGTTTACAATCACTCCAGGTTCTGAGCAAATCCGAGCCACCATTGAAAGAGATGGTTATGTAAGTGCTTGCTGGGTGTCTGACTTTCCAGTAGTGGCGATTTTAAATTCATTTGTACACAAATTACTTTGATACTGATATATTTCAAGCAAAAGTCTAATTACAATGTGTATATAATGGCAAATTTATAACCTAAATAGTATTGGAAAAATCTAAAGCAAGTGCAGCCCACATACAGACACTAGTTCATAGGTTATTTAATACACAACAGACGCAGAAATGCCTCAGCTCTATAAACACACCTATTTTGGCAGTAATTAAAGGTACTTGCTCTACTCAAGATCCTTCTTTTTATGTATGGGGAATCCAACAGAGTGTGGACACCCCCATAAGTAGGTGGGTGTGAGCACTGACACAATATTTTGGTCTTTTCATAAACTAATCTGACACTTTTAATGCAAATGCACAGAATTCTCACTTTAATCCTGTAAAAATATATTTAGAGTTTGGTTTTATTTTAGCTTACCATGTTTCTCTGCCTGTGTTTTTGCATGTTCATGCCTAAGAAACCTCCCGGTCGGTGTTTGCCATACTGCCTTAAAACACGCTACTTGTGTATCTTTTTTTTTTATGGCTAACCATTCATTATGGGTCCCTAAAAAAGCAAAATTAATCTATCGTTCAGTGCATAGAAATTAATGAGCTTGATTTTTCTTCACAAGTCTGTTTGCAACACTAGTTGATCAGATGATGTAAATGTAGCCTAAAAGGCTCAAACCAACAGTAGACTCAGAAATTAAATAAAAATAGCTTGAATAGTTACATAGGTTGAAAAAAGACACATCCATCGAGTTCAACCTAATAGAGACATGGAAAGAAAAGCCTAGAGACATGGAAAGAAAAGCTTAAAGCGAACACAATGCCCACAATTACCCACCGTTGATCCAGAGGAAGGCAAAAAAAGCCCCTATAAAACATGGTTCAATATGCTCCAACAGGGGGAAAAAAAATCCTTCCTGATCCCTTAAGGCAATTGGATGTTCCCTGGATCAACAATCTGATGCTTAATATACTTATAACTCAATGTCCAGTAATATTCTGTGCATTTAGGAATACATCCATATTTATTTTTTTTAACCATTAACTGAGCTAGCTAGAACTAGCTCCTGGATGAGTCTATTCCACTTTTTCACAGCTCTAACTGATCCATGTCCCCCCTTAATCCCCTCTTCAGAGACAACAAATTCAGGTCAGTTACTCTTTCCTCATAGCTGAGCTCCTCCATGCTTATGAGTTTAGTTGCCCTTCTCTGCACTTTCTCCATTTCCACAACATCCTTTTTTGTGAACTGGTGCCCAAAACTGAACTGCATATTCCAGATGAGGTCTTACCAATGATTTGTAGGGGGCAGAATTATGTCTCTCTCTGGAGTCTATACCCCTTTTAATACAAGAAAGTATTTTGCTTGCTTTAGAAACTGCTGCTTGGCATTGCATGCTATTCAGTCTATGATCTACCAGAGCACCCAGATCTTTCTCCATCATTGCTTCCCCCTAGCGTGTATGACGCATGTTTTTAGTCCCCAAGTGCATAACTTTGCATTTATCAACATTAAACCTAATTTTCCAAATAGATGCCCAATCACACAGTGCTTTTCAGATCTGCTTGTAAGTTGGGGACCTCCTGTAAGGACTCTCTACAGTCTGCCAACAGTACTGGAAGATTCATGCCAGATAAATCAAATCCTGGAAGCTTCTCCAGTCTGCCAAGCGAAGATCTTCCTTGTTTTTCTACGGTTCTTTTGCAGACCGCCCTGAATTCCTGAAAGTTTCTATAGAGGCCTTCAGCTAACCAGTGAATTCAGGCCAGATAAGGAAATCCTGGACAGCTTTTTGCTTAGCCAAGCAGCACAGGTTCCCAGTTCATTATCTATACTGGTATTCCCTTTGCATCAGGCCTGCAGTTGGCAGTGACTACAGTTGTGTTCACTTTACTCTGAACTCCACTGTTCAGGTCAGGCCAGAATATGTGGGGATTCCTTATAGATTATCAGTCCAGAGCTGAGGCAGTTTTCACCTGACCCTGTCTCTGATGACTCCCACTTTATGATTGGGTGTAGCAGTCTTTTGCTGTGTTGGGGATTCTTCCCTTAATTGTATCTGCAACTGAGGCAGTATCAGTTCAGAATGTCATCAGGGTACTGTGTGAAAGTGATTTTTTTTTTTTTTTTGTCCAGCTTCTAGGAGGGTTCACTTGAGAGATGGAGCCCCACCTCTTACAAGAAACACAAGAATGAGAGTTTAAAAGGCTGCCTAAGAGCCAGTATCTTCATTTCTTGCCTCCTGACAACACGCCAAGCACTGCCCCTGGCTTGTTGCTTTCTGTTCTGCTAAGGTCAACTGCATTGGCATGTGACTTCCCCTTGCAGCTGAAAGCCTTTCTCAGGGCAAGATCGCTGGGTTTTGTGGCCCTACAGGGATGGGGAATAAGGGGGGTTGTTTGACATGGGGTTTCCAGCTACACCCTCTCCCCTTTACTCTACCCCATTTTGTTCAAGCTAGGAGGATTGTACATTGCCGCTCTTGCATGGTGGATCGTTGGTCTAGTGTTTAGACTGCCTTCCATCTCCCCTTGGGTCTCTCCTCTTGCTCCCCCTCTTGTGTTTTTAAGGACCTTGTAGTCATGCATTTGGCCCATCCTCCCCTTTGCTCACCACTGCCAGCACCAGGGTTTGGCACGATTATTTTTTTTGTATTTCCCTGCTTTTCACTGGGGTTACTGCGCAGACGCGGGCCATTCGTGATGCTCTTCCAGGGCTTTTTTTCCGCACATCTCGTCACGATGGGCAAGGTTTAGCACATTGTGTACAGTCTGCTAGTGATGTCAGCCTAGGCCATATGGTGCATGTGCACTTCCTGTTGGTGAAAGTAGCATCCACATTGTGTTGGGCTCTCCTTGTTTCCACATCTGCCCACTAGCTCCCCACAGGTGGGGGAGGGCAGTGTAGTTTGGAGGTAGGGGCTATCTTGGCAAGATTAAAGGGGTGGGGGGG